TGTTGTAATAAGAAATATTAACTTTTAAACGTTACACTACAAAGTTATAGCCACTCAACCCAATTCAATTAAATTGCTTTCATTAAAAAAAAACATTGTAAATTTTTTTTTTAATTGAAACGTCAAACAATAAAAAATGTAATGGTTTCAAGCAAATGTATTAATCGAAAGTTACACATAAGTAATGTAAAAAAAGCACTAAAAAAGCATTATAAAAAGAAAATATGTACCGAAAAGGTATTTAAGGATTAAGCCTTTGATAGATTTTTAATAGTAATTATTCGTAAATGAGAAAGTACACGCTATCCAGATATTAACTAAACACTAAACTGTAATAAGTTCATCGCTATTGCGAGATTAATGAAGTTGGAAATAGATTATCGGTAATCTAGCGAAACTTTGTTGGTTGTGCATGAACTTTCTCACAATTAACGCATTTAGGTACTATTATTCTGTTTGATTAATTTTTAACACATTGGTTAAACTAAAAGCAAAAATAAATTCTGTCACTTAATAGCAGTAAAAATAAAAACATAAAGAAGTATGATTTATTAATGTTTATTACGATACAAATAAATATAAAGGAGTATGATTTATTAATGTTTATTATAATAAAATTTGATAACATAATTATTCATTTTAATACAAAATTCATAAAAAGAATTTTTTAACAATAATAAAAAAATTGTACAAAGAATCAACAAAATTTATTGAAATTTTATTTTACTATTAATTTTCTCGCTTCTATTTTTAATAAGATTCCTGACTAAACAATAACTTTTTATTTGTAGCAAGAAACATGACTAAAGAATAATGTTTAAGTAACATTCAAATTGTTACCTAAAGATGGATTCTGCTGTAGGTAAATATGCATGATTGTAAGCGAAATTATAAAGATTTATGTATTATTAAATTATCAACAAATGAAATATTAGGAAACACAAATGATTTTTTATCTTTAGAGATAGTACAATATATATAGATGTATTTTATTAAGCAATGAATGCTAAATAATAATACTTTTATATAACAATGACAAACATTAAAAATTAAATTAAACTTATTTTAAATAAAGGATTATATTCTACTTAATCTCTCTTTCAGCATACTTGTTTCTCAATATTCAAGATTTACCTCAGTTCGATAAGTTCTTGTTCGGTCGGACATTCTGCGCATTTACCAACTGTAGGAAAACTTAAGTATAAAACTCAAATATTTATTAGCATAAATTGCAATTAAAATTAATTTATATTTTAGTTTGTTAAATTAAGATTTTGAGGCTCTATTTTTTTCAAAAATTGTTAATTTGTCGATTATATATATATAAAATTGTTCATATAAAAATATAAAATTATAAAAGATTATAATTGTTATATAATTTCATATTATATTAATCAAAATTTATATATATATA